ATTCTTCTAAACATCTCCGTGATGATCAGAAGTAAAACGGGTGAGCAGCCAGCTGAGACATCTGTTTGGATAATCCCAGCTTTTCTTATCTTTCCATTCAAGATAAATCCTGCACCCTGTCTCTCACAGCAAAATTGCATCAAGCCAAATTCTCAGCTGGTGAAAGTGAAGTTATCTGGATTTATAGTTTAGGCCCTCTACCAACAACCAGTGCAAAAAGAACTGGAGACAAATCAGCACTTATTTCATGGCTGAGCATAGCACGCATGGCATGTGTATAACTACAGAGAAGCAGGCACAGTCTGCCATTAGATGTACAGCACAGACTCCCCCACTGCAGGGCCAGCTGTGCCCACCTAGCACAACTCAGCAGATTGACAGTTATCCTCAATATGTTTTTGTGTCACTAACTATTTCTAAAGATGAGTCATCAACTTGTTTCCCCACTAGATTAATAAACTCTTAACAATGTCTATGTCATTTCTTTTCTTTAACATTTCCTCTCTCCTCTTTCCTCCTTTTTTTGCTCTCCTTTGCTCAGAGAAGCAACAGACAACTCACCCACTATGGATGAGTCTCAGTCTCCAACCCACCAAAGTACTGATGAATAGAGGTATAGTAAGGGAACGTTTTGTTCTTTCCTCCTTCTGCCTTAACAGTCCGTGAGCACAGTGGGAATAACCGGTGTCCCACTGTCCCACCAGAGCAGCCCTTTAATTCTGTGCCCATTTGTTTGCCAACAAGTCTTCCTTCAGCTCTTGGAAGAACAACTTGGAAGCATCTCGAAGCCGCTCTCTGTGCCTTTTCAGCAATTCTGCTGCTGTGGCACTTTCCCCTGTGAAAGGGACTTGGGGCCAGCCTGCTCTGTGCTCCTGCAGGGGCTGCACAGGCACAAAGAGCAGTGGGGGGTGACAAATCTGTGGCTGGGGACAATTCAGAGCAGGGTGGGCAAAGTGCTGTGGGGACAGTCTGGGAGCAGTGTGGCAGGGAGACGAGCTGGGGTAGGTGGGAGCCTCGGAGGACCTGGCCTGAGCTCCCAGCGCCCCTTCCTCCCTCCTCCCTCCTTACTGCAGAACTGGGAAACTGAGGCTCTAAGCAGTGAGGTTTCCTGGAACAAGGAGCAACCCTGGCCCCGTTCCTGTGGGAAGATAGGAGGGGGGAACGGTGGAGGGAACAAAAAAACCCTGAGTATTTCTATTTTAATTAAACTGACATCTCTGTCTGACACTCTCATTTGAATCTACAACCATTCACAGCTGACATCTGTCAAGTATTTCAAGCCCAACTTTCTAGAGATATAAACCTCCACACTCCAGCACAGTGCTGGGAAACAAAAGGCTTTTTAATATGCAAATGGTGATGCCCTTGCTCAGGTTCCCCTCAGACCAATTCCAGGGAAACCAGGTGGAAAACAGGGCAGAGGAAGCAGGAACTGAATCAGATGAGAACAGTCCTGTGAGGTGGGGAGGGAGCAGAGGAAAGAGTGAGAATCCCAGAGTACACAAAAAGAAAACACATCTCCCACTTTTGGCCTCAAAACAATCTCTAGCTTAGAAGTCGGTTCAAATCAAAGTGTGAGGGAGAGACATCAATTCTGGCTGTTGCTGTGCAGATAGAGCAGTCACTTTTCAAAAGATCCAGATTTTGACCTCAGTGCTTTCCTCTGGCAAGTAGCTCCACAGCCTAAGCCAGGAGCTGATCCTGATCAGAGCTCTTAACATAAATAGCAAAGAAAATTCTCGTGAACTGTCTGATATGCTCAGTAAAGGCAGCAGAAGAAGCAGTAGCTTGCAGGAGCCTCGAGTTGAGGACTAGGCTGTCTACAACAGAACACAATCCTTTCCACATCAGACCTGGCACGCTCTCACTAGTTGCTTCCTGGTTCACCCTTGGAAAGCCACATAACTCTGGGATTGCCAGGTGATGCACAAGCCTCTGCCCAGAGCAGAAGTGCTGTAGGAAAGCATCACCAACCACCCTCCTCTTCCCACATTCCCACTGGATAATATAGTAAATGGCTGAGAGAGCTGCACTTAAAACTTGCTCCCTGGGGAGCATCCTGCCAAAAACCTCCTTACTCCAGCTTACTACTGGGCAGGACAGCAAGACAGAGCCCTCAGGCAGAGCCCTCAGGCAGAGCCCTCAGGCTGGAAGCACAGCAGCTCTGCCTGTTGCCATTCCTGCATCCAAATGTCAGGGCACCCTGGCTGTGGAGAAGCTGTCAGAGCTCAGCTTTCTCCTGCCTCCTCACAACAAGTGGGTTGCTGGGGCAAACGGGACCGCTGGGGAAGATCAAACTGGGTCAAAGCAGAGTCCTGCACGCTGAGCCCACCCCAAATATCAGCTTGGGAATACCTGCAGAGTGCAGTGGGGTCTGAATATCCTGCATTCTTCTCTACCCACAATACAATGTTTAATGCTCATGGTTGAACTTCTCAAGAGGCCTCACTGTCCTAACAAAGTTTCATTTCTCCTGCAGGAACTACAATGATAGCTGTTTCCTGGATTCTCCCCTCTATCCAGAATTAGCAGATGTCCAGTGGTATGGGCAGGAAAAAGCCAAGCCTGGGACTCTAGTGTGAACCCCTGACCTCAAGTTAATCACATCAATGCCATTCTGAGATCACCTCACTGCCTCTCATTTGCCTTACCCAGATGCACTGTCACCCAGCACCAGCTTCAACTCTAAGCACTTTTCTCACGATGCAATTCAAGGCGACATTTATGGAACACTGGCCCTGAGACATCCACCGCGGCAGCGACGGAGCGCAGCACATCCCACGGCCAGGCAGGTGCCCGTCCCTCCCACCACAGTGGGTGGAGAGGAGCAGACACCTGAACAGCCAGTTGGCAGTTTAAAAATTGGTTTTCCTTTGAAACAATGTAAGCCTTTCCAGGCTTACATCAAATCTTAGTGTTCCACGGCACGTAACAGCAGTAAGAGTTCCATGACCTGCGAGCTGAAGCCAACAGAATTAGTTCTAAGGGGGTGGGGATGGGACAGAGGCTGAGAAGTGGATACCATACTCCTGAAAGTGCATCTGTTCTGAAGAAACAGCAACATCCCATCACTGCAGAGATGTGTCAGTGTCACAATCAGATCAGCACTGCCAAAAGTCACCATGCTACCGCTTGCAGGACAAGTTTGCTCGCAAGTTTCAGCTACAAGAACATCTCCCTCCTTTTAACTCAGTGGCAGACGCGGCCACCTCCTGTAAAATGGCATTTCCTTCTTTGTTTGGAGCCCACCTATACACGAGTAAAACAACCCCCTGCGCTGCAGACACACCAGAGGTCTGGGCTGGTATCACAGCATCGCTGTCTAAAAGCTACTGTTAAACTGGACAAACAAGGTTTACAAAGGCATTACCTAAAGCAGAGGCAAGTACTGCGCTCACAGCATCTCTGTGGCTGGCACAGGGTGCCCACCAACGCACAGAGAGGTTGGGGGTTGCGATGTTTTTTTTGATAAAAGATAAAAATTGCCAAAAAAAAAAAAAAAAACAAAAACAAAAACGCCTTTCTGCAAACAGATACAGCCGATAAATTCAAATCGATTTCTGCACAAAGCGTCAAGGTGAAGTCAAAGGGAAAGCACATCGCAGTCGAATCGACACGGTAGAGCTGCATCAACATATCGGTTCCACTCATCTTCCCTTCGTTAGCACCCGTGTAGCAAAGGGCTCGTCACCCGTGTGCTGCTGTGTGGGAGAACCGGTCTGTCGGGAAACAGGAAGGCTCCGCGGCGGAGTGGGGTTGGACAACCAGCAGACAGGCAAATCTTCCCACTGCGAGACCACAAGGAAGAGAAGCGACTGAGGGAGGCGTTGGACACGAGCGAGAGCTGCCTGCTGATACCAAAAGGAATCGCACGAGCGCGTCATGGAAGGAGCCGCAAGTTTACACATACTTTTGAGCAATGCTTTATACATGTCAAGCCATGGAACTTTAAAAGGCCTCAAAGACACTTTTGTAATGAACAAGTGCACAATCTAGGTGGATGTTGAAGCTGGCACGTCTAGTCTTCACTGCGGTGCTATGCTGTTTTTATTGCCACTCGATGGGGGGAGGCGCCCGGCCTTCCCCCGTTTGTGCGTGCAAACGATGATTTCCTATGGGAAAGGCATTAAAAGAAACGGCTGGAGGGGGTTACTTTGTGAAAAGCAGAAACTGAAGTTAGCTTTAGTTTAAGGAAAAAGGAAAAAAAAAAAAAGTGTGAGTGTGTATGTGTGTGTTAAGAGTGTATGTGTGTGTTAAGAGTGTGTGTGTGTGTGTGTGTGTGTGTTCCAAGAATAACAACAGCATCTACCAGACAAAGTAGGGCGAAACGTTTCAAATTAAACACAGCGACTTGGGGGGCTGCCACACCTTTTGGTATTAAAATTGCTGGAAAACTGCATTCCAGGCTTTAAAAGAGAAGGGTTCTACATAATTAGGCTTTGAAAAACAATGGGGTTTCTAAACATTAATACCTTTCTGCAGCTCACACCAGAAATGTTGGCTTCGGTTCCCTGCGCTGCTGCCTCGCATGGCTGGTAAGGCAGGGGGGTGGCCTTGCAGAGATGAGACAGTGACAGGCAGAAGGGCTGTTTATTTGTCCAGGGAAATCCATGGCAGAGTCAGGATTGGATGAGGCAAAAGCCCAAGCTGGATGGGGCTCTGAGCAACCTGGTCTAGTGGAAGGTGTCCCTGCCCATGGCAGGGGGTTGGAACGAGATGAGCTTTAATGTCCCTTCCAACCCAAACCATTCTATGATAAGGAGACCCTTTCATGTTCATACATGAAACATAAATGAATTACTCCTATGAAAAAAAAAAACCAAAAAACACTGGCCAGGGGTTTTCAAAGGTGGCCATGCAAACCTTGTGCTTCTGGGCCTCCTTGAAGCATCACCCTGGGAGTGTGACACCCTGTGACAGTAATTGAAGCCTTGTGCCCAATTCTGGAAGAACAGCCAGGGATGAGATTGCACCCTTTATCTGGACATGCAAAATGCTGTTTTCACCATCTCTTTGTGCTTTGGGGTCTTTAACATGGGAATTATTTCAAGCTCCTAATTGGATTTTTAGCTGGATAAGAGATAGTACTGATTAATGACATTTGCTGATAAGATTTGGAAGCTAAAGTGAAAGGATTAAATAAGGACCAAATTAAGCAGCAGCAAGTAATTTAGCCCAAGGATTTTTAGGGGCTCTGAGCAACTGTCTGTTTTCTTTTTAATTTCCCTGGTAAGTGGTTTGGGTTGGTTTTTTTTTTAATGTGTACCTTCTTTTAATTAAAAAGAATTCAACAACAGCGGCACTATGAGGCCTCTGGGCACTACAGGAAGAAACATTAATTCCTCCAAGACCAGCTCTGCAGTTTTGCAGCAAAGGTTAAAAGGTGGCAGCCCTGAAATTGGGGGGGGGGAGGAAAAAAAAAATGTTTAGCCTGAATTGCAAACAGGCTGGAGTGGAGAAAAAGCTTTCTAGAAACGGATTGAGTTTTGCTTTGTGTTCTGCTTTTCTGGTTTGCAATCAAGGCACACGTGAGCAGCCAGTCTGGTAGTAAAGACAGATTAAGTAAAACAGGTTTTACTGTTTAGCTCAATTCAATTAAACACAAATGTACATAAAATGTTAATCATATGAGATTAACATATTTAAGTATAACACGGAGGGGTATATACATAGCTATTATAGACAAGCACTTGACTACCAACTTAACCCCTCCTTTACTTTTTTTTTATTTTTCAAGGCTCCATCTGCCATAAAGCCACAACCGCGTTCTTCGTCTCCGTTGTCTGACGCTCCCTCTGTGTGGGCAGGAGCCAGTGGACAGTCCATGCACTGGGCTGTGCTGGAGGCAGGGTTTATTTTTAAATGGTATTATATGCAGTCGAGTGTTGAAAATGTTGAAACAGTCCAATTTGTTTTCACTCTGTATTAGTTTTAGTTTCAGGCATAGCCAATCCCCATTCAGGTGCTATCAGATGACCAGTTACTGCTTAGTTAACTAGATGTAAAGTTTTACATATATATTAATGTCAATAGTTTTATTACAGGTTGTGTAAAATGGACTCTCTAGTTTAAAAAAAAAAAGAAAAAAAAAAAGAAGAAAAAAAAAATTAGGTCTCTCCTGAAATTGAACTTTAGAGCATGGAAAATGATTTTACTGGATTCTGTTCAACTGTAATCAAGGAAAAAAAAATATGTATGTTGTAGAAAAAGTCGCAGAATTAAAAAAGATCTGCTTTTAATTTATTCTTTTTGTATTAAGAATTTGTATAGTTACCTTTACATTTTGCAAAACGGTGTTGTCAACACTTCCTTATTAAAGCATTTTCAAAATGAAACCTTGCTGTGGTCTCTTCGGGAGGGCACAGCACACGGGCAGCTCTTACCTGCTCTTAACTGCACTGCCACCACTGTGAGATGCTGGCTCCAGATGTGCACACAGCTGGCCAGGGTGTCCATGAGGGACCCGCTCCTTGGCTGTCAGGGGGCCTGACTGCAGGAAACATTGGGCATCCCCCCCAGAAAATCCTGTCCTTTAGAGATCCTTTGGGATTCAGTGCTTGTGCTCAGCAGATCTGTGCTTGCTCTGCTGTGTGTTCTCCCGAGCACAGGTCTCGGGAGCTCAGGAGCAGAAACGGTGTGATGGACTTTCCACCACCACGGGAAACAGTCATGGATATAATCCTTACTTTCAACACACATAACTTGAGATTACTAAAATTAACACTCACTTGTATGAATTGAATGCCAAATTGCTGCAAGGCCATTTGCAGCAATGCCAACAGCTGTGGGACTGGCTTGAGCACCAGCACGTTCCCCAGTGCCCCAAGGAACTGCCTGCTCCTTGAATTCCTGAGGGACTCCTCCCTGCCCCAGCAGAGGCTGCTCTAGCTCAGGGCAGGGCTTTGCCGGCAGCAGTGACCCCTGCACAGGGTTAGGGATGTCACTTAATACCAGTTTTCCCCTCTGTGGGCAGCAGTGACCCCTGCAGCCACCCACCCCCGTCCCAAACTGCAGACAGCCACACACTCACATGGGACCCATCCACACTTCCCAGCACAGTTGCTTCCTGCTCTTTCCTTTTATTCCCACTGTCCACGGAGCCTCTTCCCACCTGATCCCCCACACACCCCACAGGGAGCCACCAGTGGCACCAGCCCAGAGCCAGGCAGCCCCTCCAACCATCACCCGGCATTGCTGCATGAGGGACCTTCACAGGCAGCAAATCCCCAGGAGGGTTTGGGATGGGACAAAGCAGCCATGATCAAGGTTTCAAACACCCCTGGAACTCTAGGACCTTAACTCAGATTTATTGCCAGTGGCTCCATAGTGCTGCAGGCACCTCCTCCAGCTCCACATCACCTCAGGAGCAGCTTTTGGGACAGCCTGCTCCAGATCTGACACCAGCACTGCCACCCTTGTGCCAGCCCTCTTGGAAAGCACTACCTTGTGTCCTCATCCCCTGGGTCCAGAAGTTGGAGCAGTCCCTTCCCCCCTGAGAAGTAAAGCCTTTTACATCCCAACCAGGTTTATTCTTTGGGCAAGACTGGATTTATGGTAGTGATTCTATGGCAGCCAGCAGGAGCAAAACCCAGTTCCTCCATCAAAATAAATTGATCCCACACATGCCTGCCCAAAGAGCCTTTCCAGCAGCAACAGACAAACAGCAAATAGGGAGTCAAAGACATGTAAGTAGCATCAGGCACAATAATACCATTATCAGGTATTATCTCAAACCACATACCTTGAGAGTTCACCTCGCACAGCCCCTTCCACCACCAGGGTTGGGGAGGGGTCGGGGGCTGCAACAAATGACTGGGGCCACTGAAGTCCCAAAACCACTCCAGACACTGCTATGGCGAATGCATGAATTCATCCCAAGGCTACAAGTCTTCGGATTCAGCGGAATTATTTCCGCCTAATGCAGGAATTATCAGAAATAAACATCTGGAGAAGCCCATAGGGAAAAGTTCGAATTGCTAAACTGAAACATACCCTCTCCACAAAAACCAATGAGCAATGTGACAGCTGCACCACACCCACTCGTCCCTAAACCAGACTTGGGTGGGTTTGGGATTATTTTGGCTGAGAGGCATTATTAACTATTTGATCACGGTCTGGTAGCTGCCATTTGGGGCCATCCGGCTGCAAAGAGCCTCCAACCAGTGATGAAATGCAGCTGCTGTAACAGTGTCCCCCCAGCTCACAATCCCACAGGACCAGGGCTGGCTCTCACGTGCTGGACAGCTGGAAACTCTTACACGGATCTGCCGTGAGAAAGTACTCCTCGGTTCCTCGGCTCCCCGTGCAGCACCATTCCACGAATTGCAGGGGGATAAAGTTCTTCCGTCATGGGACTCATTCGAGCGCGGCGGCTGTATTTCAGGGACTGTCAGCCAGCAAGGAGGCACATTGCTTGAATTACATTCTTTAAACCCTGATCAGACTGAAACATTCCAACCCCAAACTGACATCCCTCCAGGAGGCGCATCCACACTCTAACCGGCACTCAGGGTACCATTAAAACTCTGCTCAATAATTGGTTCTAAAGCAGGAGGGGAAAAAAAATCTATGTAGTACTATTACAGATGCCCCAAGGAATCCACTTCCCCCTAAAGCAGACGACAGAATGCTCCTCAAACCATCCCCTGGCTACTCATTCGCTGCAGTTTCCAGGGAAATTACAGCTCTTCTGAACAAGGGACAATATTGTCCCTCAATTATTTACAGAGTTCAAAACTAAGGTCAAGATGAAGATTTAGAAACAGCTCAGGAAACCGTCTGGGTGGGGAGAGGGATAAGGTTGCGACATTACACGTTTCCTGTTGTAATAAAGCCTCCAAAGAATAACTGTGCAGAGAACTGAGAAAAAAAAAAAAATAACCAGACACCACTGTTAATGAAACCCTTCCATGCTCTTGACATCTGCCCAGCTTCCCCCCACAAGCCCCCACCTATACCCCAAAGGCCCCTCCCCAAGCACTGGTGAGGTTTTAGCAGCCTCACTTTTATTACTTCTAAACTGTTTAAGCTCTTGACATTTTCTCTGGGGTCAAACACTCCAGGCTGAAAATCTCCTGTGTCCAGAGAGGCACTTCAGAACCTAAGAGTCTCCAGAAGAACCTGAAGTTCCTAAGGATACTCCTCCAAACTCGCTACCAGCACAAATCCCCCAGTGCCACATCTCACTGGGACACTGGAAACACCCACAGGAGAGGGGGTAATTCCTTGAGAAGAGGGCACCAGCTCCTGCTCCACGCTGCCACTCAAGGTGAGGACCCAGACAAACCCATACACTGGAATGTTGACACATTTCTTCAGGAAGTGGTTTTGCTAAAAGCTAACAATGTTTTCAATGTTTCACTACTTATGCAGAATTGGACCATCATTCCCGTGAGTTTCTTCACCATTCCCAGTCAAGATGCACAATGGTAAAGATTTGTGGCTGCTAGAAATACTCTTCATGGTCATGGGAGGTCCTAATTATTTTCTCTGCAATGCCCTGCAGACTGAAATTTTCTCCAGATGTATAAAAATGGGATTTGAAAGCCCCAAGAGCCATAAGATTACGTTCCTCAAGCCCAGAAGGTTCATATTAAAAATGTCATTACCAAAAAAAAAAAAAAAAAGCCAAATCAGATGCATTCAAGATCAAAAACTCTTTGCACTGAGGCTGAGAAATATACAAACCTTTTTTTTTAATTCCTGATAAATACCACATGAAAGATTAGCCAATAAAGTCTTTATATTTACAGAAATAACCAAGATTCAGATTCAACTGCTTCCCTCTAATCATCTCCCCACATCAGTCTCCAATGCAAAAGCAGCCAAAAAAAAAAGCTCCACATATGCTCCTTGCAGGGCTGTGTCTCAACTAAAGCTCTAAAATATGGGAAACAGTTCAGTCTGAATAACAAACTGAAATAAAAGCAAGGCTCTTGTCCACTGTCCCCTGGTCACTGTCCTGCTCTTAACCTCTTCAAAACCCACCCCCTTTGCTGTGTACTGGTTGTGTTCAGCATAAAGCATAGATTTAAAAATAAACCTAAATAAATGGGGCTTGTAAAAAGGAAGCTGTAGAAAATCTCCCGCTTTCTGCTTTTTCACAAAGTTCCTCTTGGTGTCCAAGCACAGACTCTGCCTCTTCCATCCTCTCTGGGTCTTGGAGACCAAAATATGAGTCATGCCTTGGCCCCTGCAGAGCCTCACAAAGCGTTGTACTCCACACACTTGGATGGGTCTGTTGGGAAGTGCTTCTGGCAAATGGTCATGAGCCTCTTCAGCCCCTAGGAATTAACAGAACAAGGACAATTCCATAATAAAGCATCTGTAATAAAGCTGCAGCTGTCAAATAAACATAACGGCCTACAGTATTTTTAAGCTTAACAAGAAGAATTAAATAAGAATAGGCTGCTATTTTGGGCTTGGGATTCTTTTTGGGGGGTGTTTTTTTTCAATTTAACTTTTATTAACCTTTCTCCCTGCAAATTGTCAAATTCTCTCTGAAATAAGAGAAGTCTGGGGCATAACCATAGAAACGTGGTAAAATTCATAGTGAAGGATCACAGAAATGCTTTAATGCCTCTTTATCACCATGGGAGAAAATGATATCACAACAAAATATATTTAAAAGAAAGCTGAATATTAAAAGTAATTCTAAAGAGCAAATAGCAACTTATGAAACCAAAACAAGCTGCACAGCCAAGAAAACAGAACCAAATACTTCTCAGGAGGAGAAATGTGGTACCACATGTGACACTCCAGGGGCAAACTGAAGAAGCAATCAAGGATAAAGACAGAATGTGGACTTTTCAGTTCTTTCAAGGCATCTGTTGCCAAAAACCAACGTGACAGAAACCCTGTGATTATTTTCTAGAAAATTCTAACAAAGAAGAAAGCAAACTGCTGTGGTGGAAATGTAATTTAGCAGTGACATGTACTCCAAGTCCTGTCCCTGTCATTAGACACTCATCATGGAAGGCAGCTCTTCACTAAGGGAAAAATGATTCAACAGAAGATGCTTTGGCCTTTTCAACACAGGCAAGAATGGAAAGTATGTCCCAGCACCAGAACAACTCCTTGTTTGGGATGTTATGATCCCAGGGTCGCCGTAAATCAGAAATATGTTAGCTTCACGTAACTGCTGGGAGCACAGTCACAGGACCTGAGGGAATGGCCTGAAGTTGTGTCAGGGGAGGTTTAGGTTGGATATCAAAAAAAGATTCTTCCCCCAGAGGGTGGTTGGGCACTGGAACAGGCTCCCCAGGGAAGTAGTCACAGCACCAAGCCTGGCAGAGCTCCAGAAGCGTCTGGATGATGCTCTCAGGCATGGTGTGAC